CACAAGGCTACACAAAATTTGAAGCCCATGCAAAGTTAGGAATCATTTATGTTCCCACAATGCACAGCAGAAGGACCTCGTAACACCTATGGCACTGGTAGAGTTCTCAGAACTGTATTGTCTTAGCAGTGGGGATAAATTAGCACTGAACTAAAGGCTTCTCTGGACAGTCCTAACAGACTTAAAGTCCAGCCTCAAAATGATCTGACTGATCCAGGCAACTTACCTGTAGCCAGCACAAAGCATAACATCGTAAAGGAATAATAATAATAATTTAAAAATCTAGTACCCAAAAAGGTAAAACTCTTAATGTTTGACATCCATTCAAAAATTATTAGTCATTCAAAGAAGCAGGAGAATATGATCTATAACTACGAGTAAAATCAATACAATCAGACCCAGGAACAACTGAGATAATGGAATTAGCAGATGAGGACATTAAATGTTATTATAAATATGATTCAAGAAGGTAAAAGAAAACATGACTCAAATGAAATCTTTAGAAATGAAAAATACAATATTTGAAGTGTAAAATATACTGGATAAGATTAACAGCATATTAGACACTAAAAGAAAAGATCAGTGAACTTACAGACTACTTACAGATAGAAACTATCCAAAATGATGCACACAAAGAAAAAAGACTAAAAATAATTGAACCTGGCATCAGTGACCTATGGGACAAGAGACAGTCTAACATATATGCAATTAGAGTTTTGGAAGGAGAGAAGAGATGGTTGGACACAAAAAATATCAGAAAAAATAATGGTTGAAAATTTTCCAAATTTGATGAAATCTATAAACTCGCTTATCCAAAAAGCTATAAACAAACCTCGAGATGAATAGTATTTTTTAAAAACCCACCAAGGCACATCACAATCAAATTCCTGAAAATCAGCCATAAAGAGAAAAAATCATAAAAGCCAAAGGAAAAAAGACATTACAGAATCACAGATAATGACAGAACAAGTCAGTAAATTTGAAGATAAACCAATAAAAATGATTCAATTTGAACAAAAAAGAGAAAAAAAGATTTAAAAATGATCATTCTTTTCTTTTAGTACTTTATAAACATAGTATGCCACTTTCTCAGGGACCTTATGATGGTAGCAATGGTCAACTCAGAATTCTATGTCTTGGAGAGGAAATATAGCAAAATTGTTAAGAACTAGAGTTTTGAAGTTAGATCTGTGTTTGAGTCCTTTGTTCTGTTATTTAACAGCCAAGTAACCTTGGACAAGTTATTTAAACTCCCTAAACTTTGGTTACTTCATTTGTAAGTTGTAAATAATACTTAATAGTTGTATCTGATGAAAAAATTCTTAGCTTTTTACATAGAGCCTGGCACATGGTAAGCACTCAATTAAATAATGTTTTGCATACTTTTAGTGGCAAATTTTAAAAATATCAACTTATGTATAGTTTATGTGGTAATTCTATAAATATCCATTCAACTTCCTACCCCATTACTTAATCTTTCTAAGTAAACAGAAGTTTGTTTTGAACTAACTTTATAAAAGTTTCATGATTTGTTAATGTTAGGTGCTCAGCACTAATGATTACACTACTAATTGCTTAAAATTACTTAGTCTCTTCTATTTAAAAGTGGCATAAATTAGAAATAATTTAAGAATAGAAGCAACCTGAGTTATGAACATGTATATTAAAATGTCATATTATGTTCTCATTAGCATGTTTTTAAAAGACTGTGAAACTGGAACAATTTAAGAGAGGGCTAAAAACTGAAAATTGAGAAATCATGACAGTGCAAAAGTGAAAAAACCACCTAGAATATTTTTAAAAAATCCCAATAATCCTGTTAAGTCTTTCTCAAACCAGTCAGTTCTTACCCATTTTTGCTACTATGAAAAAATTATATTGTTTTAATTTTGATAACTAAAGGAGAGCAGAATTATATTTCAAATACATATAAATTGGAAATTGAAGTTATTAAAATTTGGAGAGTGACATAAGTCATTTTTCTTATCATCTATTCTCCATCAAATACTTTTCCCCTAAATAAGAGACTTCACTAAGAAAATCATCTACCTGAAAAATATTCCATTTCTCCCTTCTATGCATAGTGCCTTCATTTATTGAAAACTTCTCAAGAAGCACTCCCAAAGGTCCACTAAGAGTTTAATTCTGACTTCTGATCTGGGAGACTGGCTGCAGGCAAATCTAAAGGTCAAGAAGTTAAAGGGACTCCACACTGAAAAAAGTTTGGTTACTACTAGACACCGTGTATGGGAGTGAGCTCTGCTCATTTAGAAAAAGAAAACCAAGACTGGTTCACTGGTTTACAGCTACTTCACCAGGATACTAGAGGAGTTAAATTTAGAGTTTAAATAGGTAAAGAGAGGCAGGGGTAATTTAAACAGGGAAAAGAGTGAAGAGGTCTAGGCAGAAATCAAGAAGCCTGAAAGTGAAAGGTTTACTCGGGCATCAGTGACAGAAGATCCATAGGTAATTACAAGAGACAAGATTGGGAAGGTAATTACATTTGTTAAACGGTACAACATGGGGCATTTAAAAAACTGTATTATTTTATTTGATACAGAATTTCATGGCAATCCACAGAGAAAGGGCAGTCATTATCATGTTCTTTTTATTAATGATAAAAGTGAAATGGGCAAATAGGCAGTGGTAATAAAGTCACATCAAAACAAGCAGCTAGACTGGGTCCAGGAATCAAACCCGGGTCTTCTGATATGCCCTAGGATATGATATGATATCTCTTGTGGTACAGGCTATACGGACTAGATGGAGTTTCTTACTTGGATTTTTTCTTCACAGACTACTTGTTCTTCAAACCTGCTGAGAAGCACTTTCCCGCTCAAACAAGACATGAACCATAGGAAATGGCTGCTAGCCGCGTGAGGCTTCCTTCCTTTTAAAACCAGAAAGGCACACCGATCCCCCAATAACCAGTTCTCTCCTTTTTAGGTTTTCCCAAGGCATCAGGAGCCTGACCTATTTTCTCTTTTCCCTGCTGTCATCACCTCCATTCCCACCTGGAAGCTATTTAATAGTTTGCAAATTTTCAACTTCTTTTCAAACCTGTTATCTCTGCAAAACATGCCTCAGGTTGAAGATCATTCACCAGGTGCAGAAGGACACCATTAGAATTGGCCCCCCCGCTTCCTTCCAGGGGTCTCCCCCAAAGGGTGCAATTGCAGGAGAGACTCCCTGGAGGCAGAGCAGGATGGACAGAGCCACCCCAACTCAATTCCAGTTTTCAGGTGAACTTATTTTAAAAAATTTTATATGTAAGTATGGAAAAATCAGGCTTAGATTATGAATTATAAAGTCATGAACAATATATCAGAATACTTCTATAGAAGGAACCTATTCCAGAAAATAGAACTACTTCGGGTAATATTAGATTCCTAAAATTTAAAGTTTTAAATTGTATAATTTTCATAATATTTACTGTATCCTTTAAGATAAGAACTTAACAATATATCATAGAGATCTTTCTATGTCAAACATAGAGATATACATCATTCTTATAAATGATTTCATGGTATTCAATTATGTGATTATGTCATAATTTAAATAATAAGTGCTAATGATGAATCTTACATGATTTCATGAAAGATTAGTATATATAAATTTATTCTAAAAACAAGATAATTACTAAGGATCAATCATAACCAACAGTCATTAAAAAAACTAATAAATTTAAATTGCTTTTCAGTTACAGTGCTGAAAAATAGCTGTATAAAATTATATGAGAAATTTTACTTTTTTCTAGCTACTTGAATTATAGGATCGTATTATTCATTATAGAATTAGGGAAACCAAGTGTCTGAACCAGACCATATGGCAATTATTCCTATAAAAATAACTCTGGATCAGAGAGAACATTTATATATAAATCAATTACTCATCCTGAGTTTCATATCTCTTTTTATACACGTGTTTGAATAACCACATGAATCAAGAAAAGGAAGAAAAGACAAGACTTAGAAAGTGATCAATGAGCACACCTCTGCTCACTGGACAAACTTTATAGCTCAAAACTTAAAATACTGGATTTTCTGGAAAACATTCTTAGAGTTTCTATAAATAAAAATGCTAGACTAGATAGTCTCCAAGGCCTTTATTCATACTAGAATATAATTCTCTCAAGGGTATGAGGCATGTTGTCTATTTTTAAAAT